AGAGCGGAAGATTGGGAGGAAGCTGGTCTGGATTGTTTGTGACCTCCACACCAACGAGTTGCCACTCAGACATCTGATCCAGGAGCTGGATGGCAAGACTCTTTCAAACAACAGATGGTCTGGTCCTCTTGGCAAGATGCTGGACTCTGCCACTGAGTTAGAAATAAATCCGAGCTTTGAAAAAATCACAGTTGGCCCTCCACTCGTTGAGCTTGCACATACTGTCATTGACGACCTGAGTACTGACCAGTACTATGGTTGCATGATTTGCAGTGCCATCAAAACTGGGGTCATGCCTGATAGACTTGCTTACCTGCAGATAGGTCCAGTCTCACATTCTAGGTGGCTCACAACGGCTCTCATGTTCTGCAGAATTTGGGTCGCTCATCATAAACTGAAAGGAAACCAGCTTCACAACCTGAGACTTATTGTCCAATTCATCGTGAGTGTCTACTTGCCAAATTGGTTCAACACCAAGGTCAAGTCATCACCTCCCAAGGTCCCAGGTATGCCTCCTTCCAGCTTGAGCGCCCTGGGAGGAGTCAGCCATGAAGGTTGTTCAGATTAGGAGCAGACTAGGAGAGATCTTCCTGGTGCATGCTTATCCCGAGGCAGTTCTTGCAGACAATGCTCTGCAGTAAGGATGAGGAGGAGAAGAGCAAGTAGTCAAAGATCTTGATATGAGAGATCACTTAAGGAGAGGATCTGGGCATGACGAATCAGCAGGACGATCTCCTTCAGGGTCAGGAAGACTCCTTGAAGCTCCAGTGCCAAGACCACTAAATCTCATAGATCTGACCCAGGCTGGCAGTGAGCCTTCACCTGCAGCCTCACCCAATGTCTGGGGGTCAGCTCCTGACAACCCCATGGCTGTCCCTGCCTGGCCCTCGCACACCCAGAGAATAGAGCGTTGTGTACAGCAAGTGAGCGAGGCCAGCAGTCACGTGTACAGCCAGGAGAGGAGGGAAGGCTACATCCGAGCTCAGGTGGTCAGCAGGGAGGTGATGAGTAGAAACAGAAGCAAGAAAGACATGTTCTCTATGGTGTGCAGCAACACCGGGTCGTAGTAGTAAAACCGGTTTTTGTATTTGATGATTTTGTTTTCTAAAGGAATATTAAATTTAATTAATGTGTCAAGATCATTCGTTTCAATATTCTGGATCATTTTCATCCTAATAAATTAACCTGATACATTTACTTTACTTTAAATAAGCTATTTAGTGGTGTTGGTAAAAGGGTGGGAATACTGAATTTTCATAAGATTTCAAGTTAAAATTTACCAAGCAAAAAATTAAAACTTTTCAAATCTGAAGATATTACATGATTCTGCACATAGAACTACATCATTAATACCATAGACCGATTTTTAAAACTCAAAAAAAAAAAAATTCGCCTCCGTATGAGACACCCTAATCGCCCATACAAGTAAATCTTACTATAACTGAAGTGAATCATTATATTTACTTAAGTGGTTCATAGTGCCAAATATGCAAGGGTTTACTTAATATTTAATCTTGTGTGATTTCAGTAAACATTCATCTGTTAAGTTCTGACCTCCGTTTAGGTCTCATTATGAGTATTATTTGTATTTAAATAAGTATTTTAAGTATAATAAGAAAACTGTCACTGTTCGGTTTACCTACCCTCTACCATATCTAATTGATAACTATTTAATTGAATGGTAATACTTTGATTACACTTTGTTTTGTCTACTGTGTTGAAACTTTTGGTTGAAAATCTTGCTTAAATAGCATTTGATCATTGGAAGTGCTGTAACAAATTCCTATAGTGTTAACTCGAGGTTTTAATAATTCGGAACAGATAGTATATATAAATACATAAAATAGAAAAAAAAATATGATTATGTTGGAACCCTTTCTCCTAACTAAGGGCGGAACTCTTCAGAAATCAAGGTAATTGATCCTCTATGACGCCTCTGTCTTTTTTAGGAGTAATTGGAAGGGGTAGAGTTTATCACGGAAGAGGTTACTTCACAGATTTTCAGATCAGGTGTGATGTCGGGTCCTCTAAAGAGAGAGCGTGACTCATTCTCAGTTTGAGCTGAGCCAGGCTAGGAAGAAGCGCCTGGTGTTTCCTGCTGTCAACTCGTTGCAGTGGGAGTTTTCAGACTAAAGGAATCATCAGTAATCACATCCCGTTGAAAGTGGTTTTTGGTTGTTGAATCATTCTTGTTCCACCAAAGGACATAGGTTTGCCAAAAGGGTCTGTGTAAAGTCAAAAACTTACTGTGGAAAACGTAAAGATAGAACAATCTCATTCTTATTCTTCCTCGAATGTTTTAACAATAGAGAGCCAATTAGTTTCCTGGAACTAACTGGTAAGTGGACAGGAGCTAATTATTTCCCATCATAAGATATAGACTAGTCTTATTCATAAAATTTTCAAGCTTTGTTTAAATCAGATGGGGTAAACAGACTTTTCTTTTATATTGTTTACTCTGGTTCCTTTCTGTACTAATACTGGACATTGAAGGATGTAAGAAAGTATCAAGAAACATACCGAGAGAGAGAGAGAGAGAGAGAGAGAGAGAGAGAGAGAGAGAGCTGGCAGGAGAAACATTACTAAATTGCCAACAAGAGAACCATCACCATACAGTCAACAAGAGTGTCATCACTGTACTGCCAACAAAAGAACTACTAACGTACAGCCAACAAGAGGCCATCACCATACAGTCAATAAGAGTGCCATCAATGTACCGCCAACAAAAGAACCATCAACATACAGCCAACAGGAGAACCATCACCACCCAGTCAACAAGAGAGCCACTTCTTTACTGCTAACAAGAGAATCATCACCATACAAATAAAAAGAAAGCCGTCACCATACAGCCAACAAGAGAATCATCAGTATATAGCCGATCATCATTACCATACTGTCAGTACGACAATCATCATTTTCCGTGAAAATGAAGAATATTACTACAGTTATCAAGAGGATCCTCATCACGCAGCTATAGAGATGATAAGGGTCACATATCAGAACATTAACACAGAGCCACCAAAAGGGTCATAACCACGGTCAACGTCAGATCTAGCCAAGGATCATCACTGAAATGCAGTTGGGAGTACCTTACCCACTCAGCCAGTTAGATATATAATCATTGCTATGAAGTCCAAAACAGGGACATTGTTCGCATCATCAGCAAGATAATTATTACCACAACACCACCAAGAGAACCAATGCCTCAGATCCACCAAGAGAACCAATGCCATAGATCCACCAAGAGAACCAGCACCACAAATCCACCAAGAGAACCAATGCCACACATGCACCAAGAGAACCATCACCACAGATCCACCTAGAGAACCAGCACCACAGAGCCATCAAGAGGACCAGCACCACAGATCCACCAAGAGAACCAGAAAAACAGATCCACCAAGAGAACCAGCACCACAGATCCACCTAGAGAACCAGCACCACAGATCCACCTAGAGAACCAGCACCACAGATCCACCTAGAGAATCACACAGATCACCAAGAACGCACCACAGATCACAAACAACAAGAAACCAGCAACAGACAAACAATCCAAGAACGCACCAATCACCTAGAGAACCAGCACCACAGATCCACCTAGAGAACCAGCACCACAGATCCATCAAAAGGACCAGCACCACAGATCCACCTAGAGAACAAAGCACCACAGATCCACCTAGAGAACCGCACATATCCACGCAGAGAACCAGCACCACAGATCCACCTAGAGGACCAGCACCAAAGATCCACTTCTAAAAGGACCAGCACCACAGATCCACCTAGAGAACAAAGCACCACAGACCACCAGGAGAATCTGCACCACAGATCCACCAAGAGAACTGGCACCACAGATCCACCCAGAGAACCAGCACCATAGATCCACCTAGAGAACCAGCACCACAGATCCACCTAGAGGACCAGCACCACAGATCCACCAAGAGAACTAGCACCACACATCCACCTAGAGAACCAGCACCACAGATCCACCAAGAGAACCAGCACCACAGATCCACCAAGAGAAACAGCACCACAGATCCACCTAGAGAACCAACACCACAGAGTCATCAAGAGGACCAGCACCACAGATCCACCAAGAGAACCAACACCACAGAACCACAAAGATCAACACCACACAGACAAGAATATCACTCCCCCCCCTCCCCCACACAGCCTAGCAAATTTATATAATCTTCGGCCCCAACACCACTAGTCAAAGGATTATTCTCACACAGTCAGGAAAAGGGAACATCCATGCGCAGCTAGAAAGAAAATCCTTACCACACACACCCAGTAAAGAATCACCATTCATCAACTCGGACCATCATGCATCCATTTTGTAAGAAAATCATCATTCATTTATTAAGAGAATCATCATACATTTATTCAGAGAATTATCATATATTTATAGGGAGAATTATCACCATACATCTAATAAGAGAAACATCATCATGTGGATTATCACCGAACATGCAGTATAAGTCATCATAATGCATAAAGTTAGTGTTCAGTATAATCATAACACAGCCAGCAAGGTGGCTGTTCGTTAACACTGACCAAAGTTATAAAGAACGTGCAACTCATACTATATTATCACTCACCAGTGCTAGCAATATGCTCAGTATCACTCGTCAGTCCTAGCATATGATTATTATCACTCATCAGTGCTAGCATTATGTTCATTATCACTCGTCAATGCTGGCAATATGATTATAATCACTCATCAGTGCTCGCAATGTGATCATTATCACTCATCAGTACTAGCCACAATACTATCAAAACTGACTAGTGTAGCCATATGATCATCATCACTCATCAATACTTGCTATAACATTATCAACATTTACTATGCTAGCCAGAAGATTAATAATATTCACAAGTACAGTACTTCGCATAAGATTGCCATCACTAATCAGTACTAGCCATAATATCATCAACATGTACTAGTGCTAGCCATGAGACTAGCAACATTTACAAGTATTTGTCATAAGAATGTCATAACTCACCAGAGTGTTGGCAGAAAAAGGAGACCAGATAAGGAAGCCACTTGCTGCAGAACACGCCACTCCCTCAAAAGGTAAGCCAAGCCACCCCATCCCATAATGCCGAGTGCCCAAAACTCGAAGAATCCACAGCCTACAATGTTTCTTATGCGTGGCTCTGCTATCTCCACTCCTGACGACACATGAACATAATGATAAAATAAAGCAAAATTTAAAACTAAATTCAGGTATGAAGCAACAAAAAGAAAAACGGATTCAGTATAAAAATGAAGGAAACATTTTGTGAAAGATAAAGTAGAGGTTTAGGTATCCTGTTGCAAATCCAATTTGCCTTAATAATTCCAGATGTACACTCGGAAACCATATTCTCTAGCCCACCTGGGTAGGTGCTGGAGGTTAGTACAGTGTCCTTTCTGGACGGGGGCCCACTCTAACTATCACGAGGCAACACACGCACGAACAACACAGTCATAGTAATGCTGTATAGATGATATTATGTATAAATATTGTGTATGGCATTTTATACTCTGCATTATCTTCATTATATATGGACACGAAGAAAAAATTACCATAGGTTGTAGTTACGAAAGTATGAATGGAAATAAACACTGCCAAACCACCCAGTGAATCATGTCGTTTACAGCGCCTGGCCAGACCACGATGATTCCACCACACCCCATCTATATCTTTTATTTCCCATCATGTAACTATATGAAAATCGTGGTTAATTTGACTACATATTTCAAAACCTTATTCATATGGACAGTCACCCTCATTTGACACACTTATAGTGTAATACTTTGACCATCCACCAGGGCACATGGAGCTCATGTTAACTCTCACGGGCAACATCCTTGCATTTGTTGAGAAGAGTTATATATATATATATATATTTCCTCACCCTAGAAACTAGATACCATAGCATAACCAAACAGCCTCGCAAGGACCAATAGGTCTAAATATAATGTTGTTCACCCGCTAAATGACCTATTATATTTTACTAATGTCTCATTGTCCATGGGTTTTCTTACAGTTGGCTGAGTTTTATTTTGTCTACCTGCCAGTTCAACAAGACTGCACCATCCTTCCAGCAACCCACATGCATCCCAGACCCACAGCCTATATGGTAAGACCGCAGTTCAATACATGTCAGGCAGTCAAGTTGTTTAGGTCCGCAGATTATTCTATTGACTAGCCCTAAAGGAGCAGATTAAAAACACAGAAAATCTATGCATGTGTTGTTGAATGATGATGAGAAAAACGAGTTAGGCAGTGAGAGACACGCACATATGTGGGGGGGAATAAGGAGGAGGCCAACATCTGCAGCAATCTGGTAGATTCATGCCCACCAGATTGCATGAAGTAGCAGCAGAGAAGTTATGCAGTATTAACCTGTGGTCAAGAATTAAATATCCGCCACGGGTGCTCTCCTTATTCCCTCCCACACATTATGTGCGTGTCTCACTGCCTACTGTTTTCTCCTCAACATCCCATTCAACAACCATATGCCCATAGATTTTCTATTGTTTTACACCTGTCCTTTAGGGCCAGTCCATAGAATAATTCTGCGGTGCACCTGAAACCAACGCTTGACTGCCTGACTGTATGTACTGAATCAAGTGTCTTGCACCATACATATAGGCTGTGGGTCTGGGATGGCATGTGGGTTGCTGGAAGGATGGTTAGCAGTCTTGTTGAACTGGCAGGTAGACAAAATAGAAAACTCACAGCCAAACTGTAAGAAAACCCATGGACAATGAGACATTAGTAAAATATAATAGGTCATTTTAGCGGGTGAACACACATTATATTTAGACCTATTGGTCCTTGCGAGGCTGTTTGGTTATGCTATGGTAACTAGTTTCCTAGGGTGAGGGAAAGTATATATATATATATATAACTCTTCTCAACAAATGCAAGGATGTTGCCCCGTGAGAGTTAACATGAGGCCTCCATGTGCCCTGGTGGGATGGTCAAAGTATTACACTATAAGTGTGTCAAATGAGGAGTGACTGATCCACATGTAATTTAAGGTTTTTGAAATATGTAGTTAAATTAAACACGATTTTTCGTATAGTTATGCAAATGACGGTAAACATCGTGGTCTGGCACACACACACACACGTTGTGTGGAGTCACTGGGTGGTTTGGAAGTGTATATTTCCATTCATACTTTCGTAACTACAACCTAAGGTATTTTTTCTTCGTGTTCATATATAATGAAGATAATGCAGAGTATAAAATGCCATATACAATATTTATACATAATGCCATCTAGACAGCCGTACTATGACTGTGTGTGTTCGTGCGTGTGTTGCCTCGTGATAGTTTGAGTGGGCCCCCAACCAGAAAGGACACTGTTCTAACCTCCAGTACCGACCCAGGTGGGCTAGTGATTATGGTTTCCGAGTGTACAGGCCAGTAATAGGGTAAAATTGCAGTTTCACTACCAATTGGTTTTTGGTCAGAAATCTATGTTTTCCCAAGGTAGTTGGTGTGATTCATTCGAATTTGACCTTCATTTCCGTTCGAAACCTAACCTAACCTTACCTAACTTCCAAGCCGGGAGGGCGCTCCCACATTCCCCTCCATATTAAACAGAAAGTACTTATTTTGATATATAGTACTGCACTAATGAAAGCAACTTTGTTGACTCATCATAGTGTAATTCTAGTTTTTAGTGGACGTAAGAATACGCTCAAATTAAGCAGGTCAGCTGTAAACAAACAGCAGTCACCACCAGTGCTGATTTACGTTATCCATTTGCGACGGAAGTGCTACAAGAAAAAGTTGTTGCAATTGACGAGGAATAACTTTTGGTAAACCCAAAGCTGCTCTAACCCAATTGAAAGTGAAACTGCAATAATACCAGTAAAAGTGCTTAATAATCAATATAATTACATTTAAAATTACAATGTTACGACTGCATTTCAACAACTAAGTGAGAGAGAGAAAGTGGTTTATTGATAAATATTACATGGCTGCTAATGGTATATAAAGTACATATTTACATAAATTTTGCTAAAATGTTGTGTAACAAAATCATAATAGGTTTCTATCATTGCTGCGATAGTAAGTGACTGACAAGTGTGATACAGGATACTGCACTGATTATTGACTTTCCTGTGAATGGTTTGCAAGTGGTTTCTCCAGTTTAGTTTATCATCAACAATAAACCCAATGAATTTAGTATTTTGTTCACGTTTGAGGACTGTATTACCAAGGTACAGGAGGTCCAAGTCGAGAGGTAATTTTTTCCTTCTGTGAAATATTGTGTAGTTGTTTTTTTCAAAGTATACAGTATATTACCCAGGTCTTGACTTAAGTCAATTCATTGTTCATAGTTCTCATCAAGGAATGGAGATCTGAGTTATTGGCATAGAGATTACTATCGTCTGCAAATAAGTTGTACTTTATAAGTGTGCTGGAGTGGATTATATCATTTATGTACAACAAGAACAGTACAGGGCTGAAAATGGAGTCTTGAGGGACGTCATACAAAATTGAAGAGGAGTCAGATTGATGATATTAGCAGACATACTGCTTCCTGTTAGAAAAAATACGAGCAATATGCTAATGTCGTTTTGTGTAGGGTTTGACCACTAGTTTCGCTTTGTGCTCTTCTTTTTCTAATATAGTGATTGAATGTTGTATTTCTATAGGTTTCATCAAGGATGTGAATATACTATATACAGTACATGTAGGCAGAAAAAGATAATTGCAAAACTTTTTACGAAGTGGTATATTGCTTACTTTTTGTCCTAGGGGTTACTTGTTTACTCCCGGAACGTCCTTGGACTACCTAATTTTAGAGTTGGGGAAATGAAGGCGATCGGGTGCGCTATCCGCCACACTGCATCATCTACATTCTACAGTACTATGTATCTTCCCTCGACTACCCCTATGCTGCCGTCAGGGTTTTTGATAGTATCTTCTTATAAATAAGAACAACATAAGAAAATAAGGAGTCCGCAATAGGCCGGTTGGCCTGTGCATGGCAGCTCCTGTTGAGAGTTACTACCACTCTCTATCATCCATGAATCTATCTAGCATATATTTTGTACAAATATTCTTCATTACCTTACACAGGGCCAAGACAATTCATCTATTACCTGTATTTACAAATTAGAATCATTTGGACACGTAATTTTATTGGACTGGCGAATCGGGGATTGATGTGATGGTGATGAATATCTTGTATTTTATGGTATATTAATGGTGGTGATGATAGAAAAGACACTGACCTAGGATGTAGCCGGCAGAACCGACGATTAGATGGAAAACGCCAAGCAGGAAGCGGGATAACATCAGCAGTGAGAGGCTAGGCAGCCAGCTTGAACCCAAGGCCAGTACCATGTATGTGAAGGAACTCACCACCAACATAGTCTTGCGACCGTGCCTGTAGCAAGAGGAAACCAGTTTAGATACACAAATAAACTAACACAAACATACACAAACAATAAACGCATGCATACTAAAAATTATACATTGACTCATATGCACAAGAGCTATTTACCATCTAATATCAATCTTGAAATATGCTGCCAGAAGAGTTGTTAGGTGTATATCTCACTAAAAGAGCGAAGGTTGAGTTAAAATTCTATAGATGTTATATAATTCAAGTAACATCTCGTTACCAATGTGTATACTCAAAGGTGGCTGGAATAATACTGCCAACCAGAGGTGTCCCGAGTCCTATATATATCAACAACAACCTGTTTTGCGTCCACACACATCTGGCGAGGTCACAGGTCGCACTACCAGATGGGTTCAGAGATCGCAGCGTAAGATGGGTTCAGATATAAGAAGGATGTAGGGGGATGCCCAATAAAAAAAGAAAAAAAGAAAAAAAGGGCGGCGATAACAAAGACTTTCGTCAGCAGACAGACTCATTACAGTGTCATGATCGTGATGACGGCTAACCTAAAATCCTTACGGATTCATATTACGCTTAAACGTCCACAAAACCTTCTGAGCCACCCAGTGGAAACGTCCTCCATTTTCTCTGTTTCCTTGATGACGTCATCGAGAGGCCGTCTTTGTCTGAAGGGAACTTTGAATCTAATCCGCTGGTTTCGTAGCAAGACGCTGTATGTTGGGACCTGTTGCCATCCAACCCTTTGTAATCAATTTAATTCTTGCTTTTGATAGCTCAGTCAGAGCATTGTTTGTGAAGATAATAGTAGGGAATGAAACTGAGTTCGTAGTCTCAGTTTCAACGTCAGAAAGTACAGTAAAATAATTCATCGAAATAGAAGTTGTAGGTTTGAGTGAGGGTGCCGCGGGCATTTCAACCGTTAGTAAGTGCTTGCCCCTTCACCCATACAGGTAGGTCATTCCACTCTGTGTTGTAATTCGCCCTTCTTTAAGTGATTGGATCCAATTAATAGTTGATTGTGCAAGTGTTACAGTAACGTAGTTGATATGCTTTGAGTGAAGTAATGTTTACGTCTTTAACGTTCCCTGACACGTGATGTTGTCACAGTAAGTGCTCGCCCCTTCACCCATACAGGTCCCTAACGCAGCCAAGGCCGTGTCTGTAGCGTGGATGGTGTACCGCTAGTCTGGAGAGATGTCCGAGGTCCAGTAGGATCAGATATCTTCGTGAGACCCGACCGACAGAAACTTCAGTACTACCTATGGGCCCCATAGCTGGCCCGTCTGACCCTAACGCTCGGCCCGCGAGGTAACCCGGAACACCAAGCTACAAACAACTACCAGCCCCCATCATTGGTGGATGAGTGTCTCGCTCAGTAGGGCTATTTGTGTGGTGGTGTTATTCCACTGGGATCATCAGAGTTAGTTGGAAAGTACCCCATGGTGGCTGGACCCCATGGCGGTTGCTTGAGTATCACTCCTGACGACTGAGTGTTGTAGTGGCAGTTGCCCCTGGTCTTAATGGTGCTAAGTTACTATAAGAGTTTATGTGTTATTGAGTAAGTCCACCCAGGAGTGGTGTGAGTGTTATTGAGTATGTCCACCCAGTAGTGGTGTGAGTATTTTGAGCCTGAGGGCATAGTAACAGGTTTCGTCTGTTGGTACATATTTCTTTCTCCTACCTCCATTTTAATGTTTAAATAAATATTGTATTTGTATATTGTGTCTATTATTTACCTACAGTATCTACCGTTATTTCTTCCCTATTACTTGATACTATCATTACATATACCCATGAGCCTCCTCTCGTCACGCTGCGAATGTTTGTAAGTATTAAAGTAACTGGCTATAAGAGGCACAGGCCCTTATAACAAAACTCTCTGACAGTGACCAGGCTTTACCAGCTAACCAGGAGGAGGAGATGGTAAGACGACCTGACTCCGAGCACCCAGGCCCGGATTATCCATTAGACACAGTAGGCACAGTGCCTAGGGCCTACGAGATATTGGGGGCCTACGAAAAATAAAACGAGAACTTTTCTTCCCCTTTTTCTACAGGTTATTATTAAATTGATACTGAGGTACTTTTTTTCCATTGATTTATTACTTAATCCTATTAGTATCGATTTATGTTACTTGATTATTTTCTATACTATTCTATTTAGACATATTCTGGCCATAGATGAAAGCAAAATAGTAGAAGAAAGTTGTTTCAAAGAGTACACAAAATTTTTATTTTTTTCAGTTGTCTAATACATACTTTTGTTTCTGAAATATCCTATACAAGTTACAACGTAATCATTAGGAAATGTTTAGAACATACTCAATATGCTAAAGCAACTGCTTCGGAAAATTGACACAGATTTTAAGTTAAGATATTTATTAGATCAAAACTTTACAGCTTTTTTGCAGTGCAAATTGTTTTATTATGTCATTAGTGTCTATCTTTCGAAGCAGTTCATTTTCAATTGAAAGTAGGGAAAGAGAAGAGAGCCGCTCTTGGCCCATAGTGGATCTTGAACAGTTTTTAATTCTTTTTAATTTGGAAAAGGACCGCTCGCTTTCACAACTGGTTGCAAACAGTGAAAGATAAATTCGAAATGCAATGTGGACATTAGGAAAACTGGTTATTAGTCCACAGTTGATTAGTTGTTTCAGCATTCCATTCACGGTTTTCTCCTCCGGGTACATATTTGAGAATAGCAAAAACTCATCAGCAAAACATTCTTCCAAATCACTGGAATATGTCTTCACTAGATTTCTGGCTTTCAGGATCACTTTATCCAGGGACAGTGATTTGTCAACCAGGAAACCAAATCTGTCACACAACACTGAATATGCTTCTTGGCGTCTACCCATCTGAACAATGAGCTTGTCTACAATAGGATAAAATGTCTGTGTTCGAAATCTGTCACTTGCAGTCATGGTTGAGACTGTGTCATCCCTGGCTCCTTCATCAAAAAACTGTTTCCTCATACGTTTGCGTTCAGCCTGCATCTCCTCTTTGTAGTCACTTTTAGAGAATTCCCTTGCCGTTTTTTCAAAACTCTCAAATTTATCACGGATTTCAGAAAAATATGCCAGAAGACTGTCATACATCTTTACAACTGTGCCCAATTCAATTCCAAGCTCTTAAATAGCTTTATTGACTATGTTAATTTTTTTAAGCAAATCATTCCAAATAGTACAAATTAGTGCAGTCTCAAATGCATCAAGTTTCTTGATTAGGGATTTAGCTTCATGAGCAGCTGAAGGAGGTTGCCCAGTAAATTCTGCAACATTGATCAGACTCTCTAATCTCTGAGTAGTTCAAGAATAGGGCTGACACTGCATCACTTCTTGCAGACCATCTAGTTTCTGACATACTGTGAACTGCATAAGCATTTTTGGGATTTTTGAGACTTTCAGTAAGTATACTCCATCTTTGTGGTGAAGCTGAAAAGAAATTGTATATGCACTGTACAACACCAAAAAAATTGACAGCCGCTGTGCAAGTTTCCACAGCAACAGAGCTGCACATGGTACCCACTCTGCCAAGTTATTGACTTCTTTGAATCTTGATTGCACACCGGAGTATATCCCACTCATGTTGCTTGCATTGTCATAACATTGTGATCTGCACCACGCAATATCTATTCCATTTTGTTGAAAAAAGTTGGTCAGTATATCAAAGAGGTACTTGCCATCATGTCTTTCAATTGGGATGAACTGCACAAATCTTTCCACAACCATTCCATCAGAGAGCACATATCGGAGTATTACAGCAAGTTGATCAGTGTGGCTAATATCCGGGGTAGAATCAATGCTGACACCATAGTACTTTGAATCTTTGATTTCGGTAATTATATGTTCCTTAACTTTCACTTTCATCAGGCCTATAAATTCTTCACATACTGTCGAAGAGAGGTAAGACACGTGTCCTTTTCCAGGATTTTTGAATTTTTCAACATGGTCATGAAGAAAAGGATCGAATTCAGCCAAAAGCTCTAAACACCCAAGGACATTCCCATTGTTTGGGCTACCAACAACCTCATTGTCACCTTGAAAGGCTAAGCCTCTCTCCGAAAGAAATCTCACAACAGCTACAATTCTTTTTAGAACTTTAAACCAGTATCTATATGCTTCTTGCTTGACTTTTTCCAGCTCAGCATCTATTCTAGTATGTTTCTGATGCTGCAACCTGTTAGAGAGTGCACATAAGTGATCTTTTGATTGCTCATGGGAGGATATTCTGGCAGTGGCATTCTTCCAATCATCAAATCCTGTCTTAAATTGAGTAGGACTTTGGTCATTATAATAAAGTTTGCACACATAGCAAAACACTTTTCCAGTTGAAGGTGAAAAGATCAACCAGTCACGTGTCATAACCTCACCATTTGCTAGATATCTCTGAAAGTAATTTTTTCGAACACCGCTTTTTGTCACCGAACTGTCGACCCCTTTTGGAGAATCCTGCATCCAAGTTTTGTGATGGAATATGATCAGCATAATAGTTGAGTATATCCGCATTCACTTCCTATTCAGCAGGGTCACTGCTTCTGCATTGCTGTATCTCACACTTTGGGAGTTCAGGTCGAGCAATCTCTTCTTGAACAGCATATTCCTGTTTGTGTACCATTATAATATTACTGTACTTTCACATACTCAAATATAGTATGCTTTAAATACACACCAAACATACTTAAACTTAATATTTAATCTTAATATTTAATCTCAGTACCGCAGCAAAAGTCACATCAATATTTTTTAACCAATACTTTAATATTTCTTACCTTATAGTATTATGTCTTCCAACGAAGTAAATAACTGGATCGAAAACACAAGAGAACTTAAAAGTCGTCTAGCCTCCCCTCGTCTTGTCACGATGGAGACTTGTGCAGAACTGAAGTGAATTGCTTGTAACTGGTGGATTGGTCGGCTGTACATGAACTGATATGACCCGAGACTGCATGGTTTTGCAGCTACTGGAGACGTTAATCCTTCCCTTTGTATCGGCGGCAAGTTAATCCTCGTCGTGTCTGAC